TAGTGCCTGCCACGCCCCAAGTACTAGAAACCTGGTCCCAGTTGTTCAAAAGGTGGATAGCGTTATCCATCGGATAAATCTCTATCTACTGGACATCGCAATAGGTTTCCCTAATATTTATCCACTGGATAGTGGTTTATCCGGGCGGAGAGCACTATCCAGCTTTTGAACAACTGGGGTCGATCTGTGGTAAAAATTTGGTTATGTGACTTCCGCGACTTGCATGGCCTTTCTTAGCCTTAACCTCGTGTTTGCTCCGACAGGCTTATTTCGCCCCATGTAAGGGCATCCGCATTCCGGAATCTTGGAAATTTTTGCTTGTGGAATCCGGAATCCTGGGCCTTGGAATCCGGAATACAGCGGTAGGAATCCGGAATCCCACTAACGATTGGAATCCGGAATCCAAGTTCCACTATAAGATCTGGAATTGAATAACTGGAATCCGGAATCCGGAATCCACGGCGTGGAATCCAGAACCCAAGACTGTCTTCGATTCCTTTACATGGGGCGACTTATTTGTTTTCAGTGGAACCCCGCTCTACGGACACCCGCTTAATAACGACACCCGTATATAACAGACAGTTTCGTTAGTTCCGACGAAAAGCTCATGAATGCTTTCTAATATTACCCCGGTTAATACGAACACCGGTTACATGAGACTGACAACGGACACTTCTGTGTCCCGTGTCATAAACTCGCATCGTTAATCCCGTTTGATGGACGTTGGTTACCTGCGTTCACTTGTACTATCTTCCTCGTGACAATTATGTACATGTGTACCCTTTTCAAATATGATGGATTTCTATGGAATAATACGATTCCATTGCATACAAAACAAAACAGTACCAACAAACAAAAACAACAAAACTAGTACCAAGTAGCATAACATTTGGGGTTCGTTCCAAAGGACGTCTGCGGGGAGGCTAAGTGCGTGATCGACACAACACAGGCATGCTTTCTCGTTGAAAGAAAGCCTCTCCTCGTGATTTTCAGCAGTTTAACCATTTTTAGTGTTAGAAGATGTGTTTATGCCCACGTAAGCTAGCTCGCGAGTGAAAAGAAAGAGCTTTTATGGAAGAAGTGAACTCCAGATGTTTTCGTTGATTTCCGGCGGCCACATTTTTGCACCAAAACTGTACACAAATGATTTTATTGGCGTCTCCATACAAAGCTCTACAATGGTGCGTGAAATGTTTCGTTAAATAACTCGGAAACAGTGAGCCACATAGACCTGAGACTTGGACAAATTCTTTATATATCAGCTTGTAACATTTCATTTTCTTGGCTTCTTCCTTGAGACGGTTTCCAATTTACTATTTTGTGCCGTATTATTGCGTGACAGTAAAAACGAGGCTTTCACAATAAAATTCTAGAACTTTCCCAAATAGTCTAATTTCCGTATAAAAAGATTACGAAATATACCGCTTTAGAAACGCTTACACAAGATCCTAAAACAAGGCAAACTCAGTTGACAAACTGGCTTCTAGAATGTCACACTAGTCACGCAAAACAATTTACAAGTTTCACCACCTTGGCGGTTTACTCTGCAGACTGTGCAGTCGTTGTTCCCACGTGTACCTTTTTGCCGCTTTCTTTCCTTTAGTCTTTATATCAATAAAACATGTGTCCGTGAACTGCTGAGAGCTCACTTTGTACGGATTTGTCGGCACTGTCCTTTTTTTAAGTTTTCCTGTCACTGTCTTTCTGTCATCGACAGACATTTGTTCCCAGATTCCTCGCCACTGTTCTATACGCTGGGGCACAAATAAAAATGGCGTCTACCGCTAAGGCGAGGGTGTTGCTATCCACCAGCTGATTACTGATTTCAGAAACTAAAGGAGATAAAAACCGAAAGGAAGTCGCAGTGGAGTAGCTGATAGCTGAAATGTAAGTATTCCTCATAGGGAAATTACCTGACGAAGGAGATACTATTGCACTTTTGGTTCTGAAGCCGCTAAATATAATTCGGCTTGGATGCCCGGGCCTGGGTGTTGTGTATTTAACAACATTTGCTCTTGTTTCCGGTATAACTGTCAAAGACGAATGTTATTATATGCTGACTACCAAATGATAAAAAAAAAAAAACGCAACACTTCGTTTAGTCAATAACAAGATCACAGAGCTTCTCTTCCAATGCAATCTTCGACTTCCGCCTTTAATAGCTGGCATTCTATTAAACCAGGGGCTGTAGTAGTCGGAAGGGACTTAGATCAACTGTATTTAGTCTATTTAACAAAATAGTTATTAAGCCTTTCAAAACAAGTTGTTTCGCCCTTCTGTTCACGAAATGGAGAAAACAGGGCTACATTTCTTCTGTAATATGGATGTCGATTGTAGTATCACATGCCTTGGTTGATGAGATTGAGTCAGGGGGAGGGCCGGGAACTGCCAAAGTTAACTGTATGGATACTTGTTGTTCTGGGGTGGGGTTTTGATGTGAGCAGTACAATTTTTGTAGAACTGGTTTGCAAAGTGCAACTGAACATTTTGTTTAATGGGCTGAGGGTTCCAGACTTCCAAAGGCACACAAATGGTAATTCATGTTTCCCTTGCATCAAGAGCCCGGTCAGAAAAGGGTAGACCGGGGTCAAAGCCCGGTCCAAAAGCCTCGGTTAGCCCGGCCATAGGCCAGGCTGCCAAGCGATAAAAATCTGGGGAAGCCGCTGCTAGCCCGGCCAATACCATAACAGAGCAAATGGCCTGGCTTGTCCAGGCTAGCTGGGGAAACCGTGGCCAGCCTAGCCAACACCATAACTATGATATTGATTATATTAATAATAATAATAATAATAATAATATTAATATTGTGCTTTACAATGACAAGTAAACTGTGACAGAAGTTTAAAAGCCAACTTGACAATAGCTCTTTCGTTATTGAAAGGTGAACAGGTTGGGAAAGGGGGCAAAAGAATCTTTAAAATCTCAGAATTAAGTCGAGCTGTAGCTTTAATTATATCTTCTTCGTAAATTTCCAATTGATCAATTCTATGATGGTTTGGTATCTTGCCCCATTAGTTTGATTTGAATCCAGGTGTATAATAAATAATACATATGATATCTATCAGTGTGCAAAGAAAATCATGTCCAATATCCCAGGCCAGTGGATTTTGCTATCGGGCTAGTGAATTCTGTTCTTAATTTGCCCAATGGGCAAGTGCTGTTTTTTGGAGAAATTCAAATTACAGAAGGATAATTGTAATCAATCCTGCTAATCAAAAAGGGTTTTGGGGATAGTTGAAATGACTTGTGGGCTTAAGTACATGCTTACACCTGAATGGCAGGCTGTAAAACTGACTTTCTTTGTGCCCTGTCTATGTTTTTTAAAAAAAGTAATGCCCACTGAAAAAGTGTTGTTTCTTTTTTATATGAAAGTTATTTCAAATAAAAAAACATAAATGATAAAAATTTATTGATAAATTAAATTCCAAAACACCAAAAAAAAAAAACAGTGAATTGTGGAGCTGAAGTTTGCAGCTATAATGGAAGCTCTCATAAGCGGACACACTCAGGGTGCAAGCACTGCATGTCTAGAAATCTCGGACATCAGTGGGAGGTGCTAAGATTGGAATATGAATTGACCTGCCACTCATAGAAGTTAAATTCTTGCAGGCCATTGGCTGGGAAGAAACACGGAATAAAGCGTGACATCTAAGCAATANTTTCCAGGTTCTACGACTTGATCTTGCTGCACTTCTTCAACTACTCCACTTTCTAATTGCTCCTTAATCACTTGATCATATTGTTCCAGTATTTCTGGTTGGGTCTTAAGCTTCTTAATCACAGTTGCCAACCTTCGTGATGCATTTGTATAATTATCTGACAGCATAGGGTGATTATCCTTGAATGGTAGCTTGACTTGGTATCTTTCACCAGTGAATTTTATCTCATTAGAAAACTTGTCATGAACTGAAGTTTCAGTGTCCCTTATGCCTAAGGTTTCCAAGTCCCAAAATTTCTGCAAATCATCTTGCACATGGCTGATGTCAGCTGACTCAATTTTCAAAACATGTGTAGCACCTAGGTTAACTGTGCATGACTCTGTCAATGCTGGAACTGCAGCTGGTCCTGACAGTACCCATCCCAACTTGGTCTCAAGAGCTACAGGTCCAGAAGGATCTCCCTTTATTATTCCTCCCATGGCTAGAAATCTCGGACATCAGTGGGAGGTGCTAAGATTGGAATATGAATTGACCTGCCACTCATAGAAGTTAAATTCTTGCAGGCCATTGGCTGGGAAGAAACACGGAATAAAGCGTGACATCTAAGCAATATGGCGTCAACTCGAAAAATGCGCACTCGTGGGAAGAGATCGATCGGGTTTTTCGCCGACTTAAATAGTATTTCTGTAGCAGATTTTTGTTCGGAATCGAAGCCAAGAAGACGAACGGTTGATAGCGGACGTTTCTTTGAGGTAGAAAGGATAATTTCAAGCCGCGAAGGACAGCAAGTAAGTTTGGTTTTTTTGGTAGGCGAACTCACACGGAATGTGGGCAAAAAAAGTCTCCATTTCGTTGTAAATCGATTATGCTATTAGTAAAATAATTCTAAGAAGTCATATTTTCTTTTAAGACATGTACAAGCATTAAGTTGGTTCAACTAAAAGCTCTAAAAAGTTAACTTTCGCCAGTTATCAGTTTAGATATTCTCAAAAGAGGAATGCTTTAATTTGCAGGTAGCGTGTTAGGAGAATTTGAATGTATCTTACGCTTCAATTCTGTAAAGCTACAAACTAAGCTTAATTTCGCGGGTATTAAATACAAAACTTAAATATTTTTCTTTCTCGTTTAAAGGAGAGAGAATATCTTGTGAAATGGAAGAATTTTAGTTCTTTTGATGCTTCGTGGGAGCCAAAACAGCATTTGAACCAACTTTGTCTGAAGTAAGCTTTCTTGTTTACTGCAAACAATGTACCAGAATATGGCATTGAAATTGGTTCTTGTCTGTGTTTCATGCATAATAAGTCATTCTAATTCTGTTTATTGTTATTTATTTTAAACAGATACTACGAGCATCCCAAACCAGAGAGGAATGCCATATTAAATGAAGTTTCCAGACTAAGGGTGGCCATTGGTACTTCTCTGAAAGCATCTAGACAAAGAAAGCAAGTGACTGTGGAGTTTAGAGAAGATGTATTTAAACATTTGTTTGGAAAGAAGGGGGTGCAAAATGGAAGGTGGAAAGTCTTGGCACAAGAAGAATTTTCTCCATCATTTTTTCCTCCTAACTGGCATTGTTTGCTTGACCTTCATGGGCAAGGAACAAAAGTTTTATTCCCCATAAAGATGAGACACTTTCTTTCATGGTCAACCCAGAACTATCATTTAAGAGAAGGTATAGTTACTAAATCAACTAGAGCTTTTCTAGAAAAGTTAACAGTGGATTTTATTAAAGTTGCTGCATAGAGAAATGTACAGTATATTTAGAAGCAAATAAATTTAGAATGGAAAAATTCAAGATCTAAAAGATGGTCTCCAAAAATCTTTAACTGAAGAGATGTTTTTGTATATTGAAGTTAATAAGTACTGTATTTTGTTAAATCGTATACAGGCAAATAGCCATTCTTAAAAATATCGGTTGGTTATAACTGAGTATATGATTTCAAGTCCTAATTCTTTTTCTGTTTTTTGTTCTTTTTAACCTTTTTAGAAGGAGCACTAGGTTTCCTTTTTGTGGTTGTATGCTTTCTCTTACTGTTGTTCGAATTCCCACTAGAATTTTCTGAATTAACTGTTGACGTAATTTCACTGCAGCTGTCATTGCTGTTGAGTGGAGTGCTTTCAGTTTCTTGCAGTTGTTGGGAACTGACACATTGTCTTTTTGTTTTAGACATCAATTCTTTTTTTCCACTGTTCCAGAACTCCTCATTTTGTTTGTTGTACTTTCTTTTTCTCCTCTCTCTATTGCTCAACTGTGTAAGGCGGTGCTCTGCTCTGATGACATCTGCTGGGCTATCCCAGTTTCTTGATTTGTGTAGGACAATTGCTCTTGCCACATCATTATTTTTTTCTACTCCTGTGTAAAGGCAAATCAGTTGAGTTTAGTTTATTGGTATTACAGTATTTGAATTGCTTTAGTGAGAAGCCCTTACAGAGATTTGTTTCATAAAATAATTTTAGATTGGTTTTGTTATTTCAGAAATGTAATAATTAAATTTTTTATTAAAAAGTATATTTTAATTTTATTTGCTATTGCTGATTTGTCTGAGTATGTTGTCATTGGTGTGCATGGTAGCAATACACAGGACAACTTTGGGCATACATTTAGTTTTCTATAAGTGAAAGTAACCAGTAACTCTGACAGTACCTTGGCCACTGAAGTACTTTACACTACCAAATCTGTCAATGGTATCTTGCAAGTGAAGAGCAGAAAGCATGGTGGTATGCAGCGGCATGCATGTAAGGTGTCACATTCTTGTTTGCATATCCCTTACGGGAATTTGCAATAGACAGAAAAAGTCTGACCCATTCTCGTATCTGTATAATAAGGAAAGGTTATACTTTTCTTTGGAATATAGCATTTAGGAAACAATCTGTTTCGAAAACCCTGTCAAATAATAAGTCAAACATTGCCTTAAATGTTGCATATAGGATCTACTCTACCTTTGCTCCACATTGTTCTCTTCGCTCTGGCAATAGTGATGATACTGTGTTGAAATAAATATCTGAAAAGTCCTTAGAGGAAAGTGGATAAAATGTTAGAACTTGAATGAGCTGAGGATTGAACAGTTTAAGAAAATTGCAAGTTTCCAATAAAATCTTGACTACCATATGTTTGTACACCGGTATATTAAGATATCCACATAGGGTTTAGAAAAGTACCTTCCATATTTTAATAACTGTCTCAGCAGTATCATGATTGATGGAATCCTGTGAGGCCTCTAATTTTGCAGGAAGATTTTTGAGTAGTTTTTTTCTTTCATCTCCCATCAGCGAGGTCCAGTCCATTTTACCTGTCCCCTTTCCATCACCATCCTTCTTCTCCCACACTGAAAATGTTACGCCACAGCTGTTTATCACTTGTGTCAGATTTCTTAAGTGAACGCCTTTGGTCTCCCCTCTCCTCTTTAAAAAATCTTCTCGGTCATCCCACTCCATGGCATCTTCAATTAGATTGGCTAGCAGAACATCAGTGATTCGAAGAAGGAGATGAAGCTCATCAAGGACAATGTGATGGAGAGGTATGTTTAACAGAGGCTGGTTAATGCAGCAGAACTCGGATGAAGTAGCATGTTTTTTTACATCTGCCAAGGTGAATGCCATGGGGGGTTTGCTGTAAAAGTCTCCTGGCTTGGACATGTCCCATCTGAAAAAGAAATGGTAGTTCCTCCTCCTTTCTTTGCATGAACAGGGTTGTATTTTATACTTGGAATAGAATTCTGCTTTGTATTGACCTTTATGATTACTTGTTTTGATAATTAATTCAAAAATTACTGTAACTTTACCTTTGATCTTTGTGGATCTTGCACCATAAACAAGCATAGTTGGAGGTTGCAGCTGACCGGCCACTAGCTAACAAGAGAAACTAAAGAAATAAAACAAGTTAAGAATGAAGTAATGAGTGACCTCCTTCTATGGGTACCAAGGCATGGCTATTCTGGTAATTTGCCTGAAAAGAGAATGGTAACACTTTAAGTGTCCAGTCACGACTTTTTTATTTTCTGAGGCCTTCTGTTAGATTTAATGCTTAAACTTTTTACTTTTTAAAATTATGTTATGATTTTAGGTTTTAACTTTTAAGGTTAGTCGGTAGTTTTTAATATGCTAACTGTAATTTTTTTTTGATTATTCAAAATAAGTGCAATATAAGTATAAAATATTATTATAAAGGGGTAGCCAAAAACTGCAATCTGTATTTAGTTCTTCTTCCATCTAACAGCTTCACATCTAACCTTGTAATCCCCACCAAGATAGATTTCAACAGGTACTTCTTGTCCATGGTTTATTGAGACTTTACCACCAGCTATCATTTTATTTATTTCATCCCACGAATCTTTGAAATTTGCCTTGATGGATGCGTAGCATTCAGACCCACTCATTATGGCAATAGTGTTGGTACCTAAATGATGGAGTATAAAGTATTATTATAATAGTTTTTATCATAGAAAATAATAACATAACAGAAAAGAAGTGTGGTGTGGATATGACACAAAAAAAAAACAGTAAAAAGGTGCTGTTTGCATGGCAAAAGCCACCTAAAACAAGGTTTCTTACCTCTAGCAGTAAACAGATTATCATCATCATCAAGCAGACTGTAACTGAGTATGACAAAGTTGGTCAATCTTGTCATGCGGGCTCCATCACCACTGATTTTTACTCTGACTGGCTTGTCAGTAGACAGTTGCCCCTTTTCTGCCTGTCAATTAAGGGAATGTTTGCAATTTATTTTTGTATTATTTTATGCTTGTTTCTAGAAAAAAAAAACAGAAATGAATAGCATTATTTTGAAGCAAATGATATGTACTTACAAGAGAGTTCAGCTTGCTGATAAGGGACTCTTTGAAAGAAATTTGAGCACCTGGCTCTGGTCCACTGGTTGGTTTTACAAGGCAACTGCTATTAAGCTTGTCTCGGCACTGCTTAATAAGGTATGACCTTGGCATCCCATTTATCAGCATGCTCAACTCATGTACAAATGGATCACCCACAGCAAACTTATCCATAAGGAACAGTACTGCTTCCACTCTCTCCTTTTCACTGTCTGACAAACTATCGTATTGCACCCATTTGCATTGTGTTGTGGTCTGATTGCCCAATGGTGGTGTCCCATTTAATGGAGTCACTGTGGCTTGGCAAGATGACCCATTGGCAGGTGGCACAGCAACTGGGGTTTGTGGTGGTGTAGGTGGGGCAGCACCAGGGGTTCCAGTTGGGGTGGAGTGGGTAGAACCAGGGACTTGTTGCAGGGTAGGTGTCATAAGACCAGGGGCTTGTGAACGAGTGGATGCGGTAGAACCAGGGGCTTGCGGTGGTGTGGATGGAACAGAACCAGGAGTTTGTGATGAGGTAGAAGGGGTAGAACCAGGATTTTGTTGTGGTGAATTGGGAGGGGCAGGTGATGTGCTATTGGAAGGTGGAATCTTTAATGGATATTGGTTTCCCTCTGTGTCTTTGAAGCACAAAGCATCAAGTTCCAAACCATACTGTTTGCTAAACCATAATGCTTTCTGAGCTCTGCTTGAGAGAGATTCTACCCTCCGAGTTACCTGTCGTTTAGAGAGTGTTGTCATTTCCTTAGTGAACTTTTGTATTTCACTGACATCATCCCTTTGCTCTTTCTCTAATTTTCTTATATATTTTTTTATTTCTTCATTTTCGGCTTCTAGATTAGAAATTTTCTTCTTGTCCTGGCTGTTGAGGATTTCCGCTGTCAGTTCCTCGAAAACCTTTTTCTTTTCGCCTTCAAGATTTTCATACTTCTTTCTCCATTCCTCAACTTCAACATTACACGTCTTCAACCTTTCCATTAAATCTGCGGCTTTTGCTTCAAGTCTCTTTATTTCTTCTTCCATCTCACCAGGATTCATTATGTCACCAGCCAAAATGCTGAGGTTTGTCCAGCCGTTTAAAATTTCATTTCTCTGCTTTTCTGAGCCGGATCTGTTTTTTTTCCTTATGCTCCCTGTTACACGACTGATGGTAACGCGTAAGCGTTCTTTTACTCGTTTCGAATCTCTTTTAATTCTTACAACAGTTCCTGGTATAATATCGTTAAGCAAGTCAATGTAGTTTTTCTCGGGGTCCTTTAAACTTGCCCACTGCCACAATATATTGTTTAGGATAGCCATCCTATAGACAACTTGATCTCCAGCAATTGCTTGTTTAACGACATAGTCGAGATGTTTGTAGTAGTCAATATGTGGTGAAGAAACTGTTCCATTTATGAGCACATTCACCTCCTCCAGTAATAAAGTTTTGTCGGGCATTTCTAAAATAAAATTCTTTGAGTGTTTGCCAAACGGCCAATACAGATAAATTTCCGGTTGACTGTGTTCAGTTCTGATCCTTTGTTTTGATTTTCGCGCCGCGGTTTCGCGCCTTCGAAAAGCCCGGTCTCAGCTCCCCCAGTTATTTTTGGGGGTAAATAGATTTGAAAAGAGACTGGAAGCTAGAAAGCCAGGCTACCCAGGGAGAAAACAAATGAAAATCAACATGGCCGATCGAGGAAATAGGAAAGAAGTGTACTACTTTGCTGGTGGATTTCGCTGCGAGGTTTGCAAGGAATATCATATTTCATCAATCAGAAAACATGAAAATTTCAGAGAAACAAGACGTAAAAACGCAATGGATATTCAGTCCTGAGAAATGTGACTCACTGCGTCTTAAAGTATGGCTTCGACGGCTTAATAATCGCAATGAACAAAGTTGTTACACTCTTAAGATTTTAGGCGAAAGGACATCTAGGAAGAGCTTGTGATGCTGTTCTCGCCCTGCCGCCATACTGTTTCTACATAGCATCATCTGTATCAGAACACCTGAAAAAACGCAACGATTACGACATGGAAG